ATTGACGGAGGCTCCGATGAATCCGAAAGCTAACCGTGAGAAGATGACTCAAATCATGTTCGAGACGTTCAACACTCCGGCCATGTATGTGGCTATTCAAGCCGTGTTGTCTTTGTATGCCTCGGGTCGTACAACTGGTATTGTGTTGGATTCCGGAGATGGTGTGAGTCACACTGTACCAATCTACGAGGGTTACGCTTTGCCACATGCTATTCAACGTTTGGATTTAGCTGGTCGTGATTTGACTGACTACCTGATGAAGCTAATGACAGAGCGTGGCCACTCGTTCACGACCACCGCTGAGCGAGAAATCGTTCGAGATATCAAGGAGAAATTGTGTTATATGGCGTTAGATTTTGACCATGAGATGACCACAGCTGCTCAGACATCCTCCCTGGAGAAGAGCTATGAGTTACCTGATGGTCAAGTGATCACTATTGGAAACGAGCGATTCCGTTGTCCCGAGGCCATGCTTCAGCCCAGTTTTCTCGGCATGGAATGTGCTGGAGTTCACGAAACCACTTACACCTCCATCATGAAATGTGATGTGGATATCCGTAAGGATTTATACGCGAATATTGTGTTATCCGGTGGTTCAACCATGTTTCCCGGAATTTCTGATCGTATGCAGAAAGAGATCACCATTTTGGCTCCGAGCACCATGAAAATTAAGATTATCGCGCCGCCGGAACGTAAATATTCCGTCTGGATAGGCGGTTCCATCCTGGCATCCTTGTCCACATTTCATCAGATGTGGATTACCAAGCATGAGTACGATGAATCGGGACCGGGTGTTGTACATCGAAAATGCTTCTAGTGCTGCCTCACAACTTTGCAACCATTTCTGAATCATTGAATTCACGAACAAAATGAGGTACACACTTGTATTGTTTCCTTCTCTTTTGCAATTGCTTCATGAATGTTTTTGTTGTTGTTGTTGTTGATACCGTCAAGTGTAACATTCGCTCAACTCATCCCTTGGATCTCATCTCGGAGTTTGGACAGAAATTCTTGCATTGCAGACTCAATTCCCCAATGAGTAAAATCTATGTTTCACTAAATATTTCTCTTTTGGCTACACTAGAAGTGTTACGCAATTCACCCTTGTCGTATATGTGAATCCAACCGTCCATATTCCATCTTCCGGGAGTAAGTTCCACAAGTTGTTTGTCCGTCATTTACAGTTGTTGCCAAACAAGGATTAATACCCAGAAATATTATCAAAGGCTTACTCACGTCACCAGATAAACTTGTAAAGTAATGTCTACTGGTTCTCGTAGATGTAAAGCATCTATCACTTGGCAAGGTCTGGGATCACGTGAGTGAGAAACAAATGCCAACTCGTTCATTCACATGGATCAAAGGTGTATCAATAGGTTAACAGTCTCACCAATTTTGTTGTGTCGTGCAAAGTTAGGTCAACCTGGCCGTGAAGCGCATTTTCATCCTTCATTGATCGTACCCAAATGATGAATAGGACTGTTCCGCAAACCAGAAGTGAACTGTTGATCATGGTGTTTTGACTGATAAAGTGTTAGATTTAGATCAGTCCTGTCAACATGTGCCATATGCCACTTTACGTTAAATAGGTGGTTCAAATGTGAAAAGATCAAAGCTACCGGTGTGAAGTCGTAGCTCAGCTGATAGAGCATGCGCTGTACGAAAGCATAGACAGCGTTCATGCATGGATTCGAATCCGACCGTGACTACTCAGCTTCTCACGGTTTCCAGAAAGATTATTACAGGCCAAAGCCAAAATTTTGTTGGCTGTCTCATGGAATGCAATAATAATGATGCCCTATGTACTTCGTTAGCTTCTCATTTCATTAGCTAGAGATCCACAGTGAGGACAGTTCAGGGGTTCTATTTTTCAAAAAGAATATATTAGATTGTATATCTGCCTGCTCCAGTTATACTTCTCAGTTCATATTGAGACATCAAACTCGCAGTACAGTCAATGCTCTCACATTGGCGATTAAAAGAACATCAAAAGCCCTGCTTCATTGAGAAACACTTCAACAACCGTTCCATAAACCGCGAATTCATACGAATGAAAAAACACTACTTATAGTATCATGTTTGGAATAGCCCATTCGATTACTCACAGCACCAGGCATTATCGATGGTCTTAGATGTGGGTCGCACTCCTTGGGAGATTGTGAATTCCACACCAGTTAAATGCAGTTGTTTGCGATCCTCAAAAGTCTCCGGTGCTTGTAAACTATCAAACGGGCTAATCCATAAGTCCTACTCTAAATTGATCGACTCATTCGTACAAGATAACGACCGTGTAGTTGAGGGTTATGTGCCTCTACTCCCAACCCGAAGGTTCACAGTTCGAGTCCTGACAGGGACACAAAATTATGCGCCGCGAACGAGTCCAAAACAGGACGAAACAGCTGTTCAGTTCTTATTGTTGCTCATCATAATTTTTTCCGTCGCACACAAAAAAACAACCGTTGCACTTTCTGAAATAACTAAACCACACAACATATGTGGTTATCTATCAACTGATCGTAGGCACTGAGTCGTTGATCATCACTTAGGAGAATGTTCGAACAGACTTTCTTTATACGAATGCACGTCGAGGTGTATGATCTTTTATCCCTTCGAAACGTTATTCCGAAGTCCCTTCCATTTTTCGGTGTTTTGGCTTTCGTGGCAAAAGTGTGATGTTTGGTGGCTCGAGCCCAAGGAAATATACAATTATTAAACATCGGCGTTGAGTCCGATAGAATTATAAACGATTTTTGGCTGTTCTTATCTATTATTACATTCAAACGAGAGAAAGCTGTCGTTTTTACCACAAATTATCTAGATTTTCTTCCACGCAGTTTCATGAAGGTTTGTTTATAGACTGGATTTATCCGTAATGATGATATGAGAAATAAATTTCATTGTATCCTCATCACGTACATGCCGGTCGGATATGTAGATTGCGTGATTTATTTGAGAAATCAAAGTGATGGCGTATTCCAATTGGAGCTCAGTTCAGAATAATCACCATTGCTATACTACCACACACAGACATAATCCGGTCAAATCGGACTCCAGTCTTCGTGTGCGTCTTGCTTTGCGAAACTGTGCATTGATCAGTGTGTATCACTAACAGTGATGGTGCATATGATTTTCATCGGGAAAGTAGAAATAGATCCCACGAGGAAATATTACCACCTAGGATTATAAATAAGATGTTTTTGATAATGAGAACGTACTTCGGGCTCTCCTAATACACTGAAGTACACAGAGATGCGCGATGTAGTGAGATACTACATACATTTGTGCGTAGTGCGCAAAAGGATTCGGTTGGCGATATCATTCAACGACCAGAAATGAACAAACCTTCTCAGAGCGAACTTCTGTGTTAGAAATAGTAACTATGGCTTGTTCTATTCAGTATCTTTTGTGCTGTCAGGAATTGCTATGACATGTTCCAAGTGAGATCCCGTTACATGTACGTCAATTTATCCATATCCTATTTGTGGTTGGCAATACAAAATTCCCCTCAAGCCAGCACCAGTCTTCAAGAATTACGACACACGACATGATGTCCCTCCGTTCATGTTCACGGAGTTAGAGACGGTACGATAGTTTGCGGGCGATGGACGACGGCGGCAGGGTGGTGACACGACCGGGATACGGGGTTGCGAGGAAACACTGGCAGACAGGTCCTCCATCGGTTGGGGTTGATTGTAAACCTACAAGGCAAAGAAAATACAACACCATGATCCCAAAAGGTCCAGTGAGCTACAAGTGATCACGATAAAATAATAATGACGCGGTTGCCAAGCGTTACGCTTGTGTATCATGTAAAAACAGTGGAAGTTACTTTTCACTTGTTTCCAACAAATTGGTTTCCTTATAGATATTCGTCAGCATGCCAATACATAACAAAATAATAATAATAACAATAATAATAATAATAATGGTACTAGTAATAGGATAAGGATAAGGGGATGACAAATTGCAGTTATCATAGTTCATATCTGAATCAGAACGGATTTGTGAAGAGCGAGTTGATAACAGTATCAAATATCAAAGTAGTTGCACACATGTTCAGGAAGATGTACTAGGTCAGGTTAAGTGTTCACACAATTTTCTCCTGGTAACATGGGGAAGTTTGTGCTATCGGTCGTAGTGTCGAATAATTTTGGTCCCAGTCACCAGTCCCAGTCTCACTGCTCTCCATTGCCTAAATCAAACGTTTTGAACCACTCGAAAGCATTTAAAACATTCGCTGAACAACCAAATCGATTTAACCGCCTAACCGGAACCAGTAAACATTGAATTTTCCCGACACAAACAACAAGGTATGTTTCATCAGGTAGCGACCATGGAGAACATAAATCTCTAAGGTAAATTGACAATCTGTAACTGGATCCTTTTGAGTTCTCAGTCACAGCAGATACCATATACCAATCATGTATGTGGTAGATGCAAATAGGGATACACATCGGTTGCTAGAGCATTTCGAAAGTATTCATCAAACCGCAAATTTTATTCCGGAATCAATTAATTGTATTGTTTTTGCTGCATCTAGAAGTATTCTTAAACCGCCATGGTGCTAACCCCATCTAGTCCGTTGCCAAGTGTTCACACTCAAAACGGTTACTCAAAGCGCTGTGTTGGCAAGTCAATGGAAGGACATGGCAAGATACTAAAATAAATAGGGACTGTCGAGCAGAGTGCATATGCTCATTTGCCATTCAAGAGACTTATGGAGGCAAAAATTTTACAAAGGGGCTTTCAGCGATAGCAAATAGATCTCCTTGCGCTGTACAACGGAAAACTGCATTTACATACAAATGGATTTTGCTTTCAGATGAACGACCGAGTGCCAGATTTGGCATTCTCGTTCCTGTTCAGCCATTCATCTGTTCATTTGGGGTTTAGGCACATTAGTTGCAAAACCAGGCGTTTATTTGATTGCGTCCGTTTTGGTTGGGCAACGGGACAACAGAGACAATTATGAGCTCGATGGGCTCGAAATTACAAACTTGAACACAAGCTCCCCTATTTGGCCAGCTGAAACGTGTGTAAAGAACCGTCTTAGGCGGAATGGGAAACCAACTTGGAGCACAGCGCAAGAGGCGAGCGTGGAAACAAAAGCCAACGAACAAAGAAAAGTATTTATGGATAAACCCAGGAGAGAGATAAAATTTGTGGAACGAAGGGGCAGCGAATAAAAATCAACTGAGGAGAATAAGGGACACATTTAAGGGAGACGGAGAGGAGAGAAGTTTTGGAAGCATGGAAACACATGGTTGGTAGAACCCCATGCGGAGATGAGGCCGAGACCGGAAGCAAAGAAGTACTAATGACATAATGATCGTGATAGATATTAGTAGTAGCTTGATGGATTATGGGGAAAGAAAAAGAACAATGGAGAGTAGCTTTATCGGAAAAGCGGTGGATGGGATTAGAGGTTTTGGAAAAAAGATCGTTAATCAATAAAAGAAAGGGTGGGCAAAGGTATGAAACTTTGGGAAACACCGGCATTCACAGAGAACAGTTGAGATAGGACCTCGTCGACTCAGACGGAGATGACCCGCTTGATAAGGAAACACTAGCCTCACGATACGAGAGACAAGTGGAATCCGAACGTGGGTAATTTCGACCGCAGATCTTCATGCAAAACGCCATTGAAAGCCTTTGAAATGTCGAATGAGACCATGTGAATTTCTCCCGGTGCAATCGACAACGAATACAATGTGAGCACCAGTAGGTTAACCGTAGGGGAAATCCATATTTAAGGTCTTTAAAAAAAACTGCGTTCCACAGGTGTACGCAGCTGGTCGGATATAATGGTTTCAATCA